TCTTCTTATTTAACACTCTCTATACTGTTGATTTTGATAAACCAACTTCTCGTTTTATAGTTCTTACTGATGCACTAGGGATTTCAAAAGTTTCTGTCGCGATTTTAATTTTCAATATTGTATCCGCTTCTAGGTTGTTCCAAAGCCCCATGGCTTATTAAATTAACTACTATTTTTCTAAATTGGATTTTATGAGGCTGCCAGCGTTCGGGATACACCTCCAAGTACCTTGCTGAGGTAATGTCGGCGTTTCTGTGTGACTGCCAGTACAGCGGTAACATACTTTTCTTCATTTGAGTAGGGAATACCGACAGGTTTTGGAAATTTGTTTTGCCAGATTTATGATTTTAATGAGATAAAACGTACCTACTACTTATTAAAACACAATTTTTATACTTTGAATTATTTAACGACAAAGTCAGAGCCTCCATATTAATTTTATTTTCTGACAAATAAATCATGGCCTCCTAAGTATACGTGCACACACAAGGCGGAACCAAGCGAGGCGTAGCGTTGCGAGCAAGGCGGAAAATACAAACTAATATAATTAAATGCGAGGGTGCATCCTGGTGGCGAACCTTAGCGAGTCGTAACTAGTCCGCGGCGAGCGATCCTCTCCAAAACAATTCAGTTCGTCTTTGAGCTTGAAAGATTGCGCATTAAATATGGTGGATATCCAAAAATTAATAAATGAGATATTTTTGAGAACTCCTTAATCAAGTTCTTTACATCATAATCGTAAAGTAATAATCGAAAACGTGGTAGGAAATAGCAGCTTCTTGTGGAATAACAATTTATTTATAAAACATTATATTGAAACGGTACAGTACTTTCATTATTGAAATATTGCATAAAATAATTCCTTATATCCCTAGCTTGTTCTGTAAAACTATTCTTTTTCATATGTTTCTTTAAATCTATGTTTTCCTTTGTATATTCTATTAGGGCAATCAATAATGATATTATGCAACACACAAATGCAATTATCAAGTGTTTTTCTATTGCTTTTATCAAAATACGCCATTTTGCAGCAAGGATTCCGAATGCACATTGGACAACTACGCAAGAGACAGATAATTCCACTGAAATTGAAGGGAATTCAGAAATAGAAAGCCAAACTTCAGCTACGGATCAAGAAACACCGACCGTTCAACAACAGTGGTTATACAAAAAGAGGGTGCTGGGATTGACTATGAATTACTAAATCTAGAAAAAAAGAAGATCCTAATCATAAAAAACACAACTAGCTCAATCACAGAATATCCCAAAGTCAAAACCAGAAGGTGGCTTATATTACTTTTTGATACAATAATACAACAGATGGTTTAAATATTGAAAACTCCGCAGTTAACACATTCGTTCCCAGTCAAAGCACTTAGTACATAAATCCACATTCCGTTCATTCAAATACTTCAGCTAGTGAAAGTAATATTAATAGATAATAGAATGTAATTAGTAAGTAAGAGAAGAAATAAGTTTTTTTTTACGCAGGTACACTGAGAACTAAATTTTTTCATTGCGTACATAGTTAAGCTCGTGCTAGAATATGTTAATACTGTAAGGGCCAATTTCACCAACAACAGTCCGTTATTCTCCACCTAGGGTAACAGACCGTCAAATACAACGAATAAGCTTCAAGTTCCAATCAACAAATTTACCCAACCAATAGCTATGAAATGTTGAAAACAAAATACTGTCAAAGTATGAGATGACAGCTTGTCATTGAAACATCACCAGCTTATTGAATATTAAGAAAATACATATAACTCAGTCAAAATTTAAAGAAATGTTGGATTTTTGAATAAAATTCATGTTTTAATTACTATTGTTGATTTTTTATTCATGTTTACATTATTTTCTTCAATTGATATGCGATAGTGGGTGTTTTTTCTTATAAACCTCTTGCGGATAGCCATTAGGCACCTACTCGATGACAGGCTCTACCAAAAGATATTGCTCGTTTCCAAACATTCATTCATTTACTTGCCGTTCATCAGAACCATTGTGGCACCTTAGATTGATATTCCCACAAAACCATTCGGGTTTTTTGATATCCATACATCCATAAAGTTGAATATTTTTCGTTATTCAGGAACTGAACAAACATCCACACTATATTCACAGCGATTAAGAAATTCACAAATATATGCCTTAAAGCTACCAGCAAACCTAAAACTTGCAAAAAAAAACTACAAATTTGCCATATTTTTCTTTTTTCATGAGTACACATTCTAGGTTATATTTATATTAGGCATTATTTGAATACAGCTGATTATTGCATTTCAAGGAGTGACACAAGTGTGGGATCTGCCAACTCTTGGTACCAGTCACAAAACATATACTCTGAAGGTTTAATTCCATGCTATTCAATGACTTGTGTGGTTCTCAGCGGTCATCTTGTGAGGGTGCGACGGAGTTGCCAGATTGTGCATTAATATCCCGTTTCACCCTCCTGGTCCCAGTGGAGTAAGTTCCGCCAACTGTTGAAATATACTCTACTATGCTTTATAAGACTATTCGTGACATTTTTCCAAAAATCAATGCACAACACTTGAAAATATGCAAATGAAGATTTAAAATTATTTCCATGACGCCGCAAAATAGCTCCCTTGGTGCCTTGGGTTATACATCTTGACAGTAGGGATGTTCGATACGATCCTATATTTAGAAGTATCAATACATTTCACGAGTATCGTCTCCTTTCGATCCGGACTGTGTCAGAAAGAGTGACGGCCATTTGGCTGCGACATTACCCTGCCAAATCAGACATATTATCTTTCATCATTTTCAACGAAATTGTACAAAATTTGTGAAGTTAGCGAGTTTCACTTCATGCGTTGTTACCAGACATGCCCAAATCATCAGTTGCTGCCGTGATATTCATCCCGACCACTGCATCCCCACGGCTAGGCGACCTGTATGTTAAATTTGTATTGATAGGGCAGCGGGTTATGCTATAAATCATATGTCACAGTGTTTGTGCACTGATTGCAGCGGTTAGATGATACCAAAAATATATTCATAAATAGGAGATCTTTCCCATTCCGGATCGAACAATCTACCAAAGATGCTTATAATCATGATGCCTAGTAAATTTCGACGAAAAAAATTCAAAACCAACAAATGTAAAAGAGTCATTTCGCACCCTCCACCACTGGACGTGATCGTCGTTAGACTTGGCAACCCTACGAGTGACAGATAGATATCCCCGCCAGTCAAAAATACAAAAAAATGAACATTACTAGTTTTTATGATTTTTGGACTTGGAAAGAAATTATTTGTAATACAATTTTTCATATTTTTTTGTCTATGTCCATAGTAGTTGCATTATGCATCAAGGAGATGTCGGGATTGACACGTCTTACACATATTATCTGTGTTTTAGGATGGAGAGGACATAATGCTTTTATTGCTTTGAAGAAATTCATTGACCCATAAATTAATAAATGATTACTATTATGACGTAAAGGAAGATGAGGAATTGGATGGAATGTATTTTATATTCTATTTTCTTGCTAAATACAGACAAATCCACACCATTCAACAGCTATGTAATGATAACGTTGAAGTAAATTTACTGGTAGATCAGAATACTGGCACTAAGTGGAAAATACTATAAATACACTCAGACAAATATATTGTATCGTTTATTTTAAATAGTTGATCTTTTTCTTTGAAATGTTTCTTTTTATTTCAAATTCCTTATGCTAGATTGCTTCTCGTATATAATAATTTATTACTAATAAAATAATGCTAAAGATGGATTAGCGAACCAGAGAATAAAAATAAATATAAAAGTAGAGTTAATATATAACATGCGATATTTTTCTCTTTGAGTAGGTAGGTATTCAATATAATACGAACCTTAAAGTTAATGCTGGCTTCTCAATAGGACTGATGGCTTATCGAAAATTTGTATTTTGTTTATGGATACGCCTTTCTACTTTTGTTAAAATGTAAGAAAAAAAAACTTTCATTCATTCGAAAATATCTATAAAACCTTTCGGAACCTTCTTGTATACTTTTATACAAATGAAAAAACCCTCCAAATCTTTCTCTCAATCGAAAGATTCTGTGTGACTAAAATCTTCTTTTCCGGGCTAAGCGTCGTTTAATAATAACGTTGTGTCCATCGCGACTGTACACTGACTACTCTGGGAAAGTAATAAAAATCTGCCTTTTCAAACGCGTTAAATATGCACAGAAATTTCTAACGTTTGGTCTCGCATCGCTACGTATCGCAACGTCTCGCTCGCTTCCGCTTGCTGTGTGCACGTACACTTAAAAGAAAATTATTACATAACATTACGTGTGATAATGTTTCGATGACACTCCAATGTTTTGTGCACTTGTGAGACATCACTAGGCTGGAAATTTTACGTTCTTTCCAAAAATCGAAAAATCCAATATGGCGGCCATAAGAAATATGAAACAAAAGGCGATTGAGATATGTCATACATACATCTTATATGCCTTAAAAAAGTCCGGATAATGTCGCATTTTGACAGCTGTCAAATTAACCTGTTCGGATTTACTGACACAAAACAAAATTTGATATTTTCGGTTTTTCGCCGATATTTCCAAAGCCATATGACCGATCGTAAATCCAAGCCGGCTCTCAGATGCACTAAGTTTCCTCTAAGACTTTCCTCGTTTAACCATTGCTGTAAGTATAACAGGCGCTGAGTTCCCTATACAGAAGCGAATCTGAGACAACATTTAAAAAGTGTATACTTGTGTTATCAATCATCGTGAAGGGAGTGGCATATTTTGCGATCAAAGAGCTTACAGATGCCCACATTTTATATAAGTGAAGCTATGGACTAGTTGTACCTACCTATACCTGCCCTATGTGTCTGTAAAAGTGTAAAGCATACTGACATCCATAACAACCGCAAATCCACTGATTTCTTATACGACTGCTGGCAACTACATCTAGTATAAAATTACGCGGGAGACGGATTGGTCGGAAAATATTGATTGTCCCGACAACGTCGTAAATGCCGAAGCAAGATTTATCACCTCTCAGTATGTGAGTCGAAAGCCTTTGACGATATTATTTTTCAGAAAATTTCCTTCCTCCCTTCTTTTTCAAGTGTCTGCCGTCTTCGGGGATAAAACGGCATGTTTCTTGTTTTATAGTAACATGTCAAGCGTGTACGCGATGGAGCAAAGCAAGCTACACTTTTAAAAGCTTTTATCAAGGCTTTCAGACGAGGACGCGGTTCGGTTTGGAGCAATTTACAGAAGCAACAAGATTTAGGGTCTGCGGTGACAAACAAGCGCATATTGGTTTTTACAGCTTTATGTGATAAAAATCAAACGCAAGCAGTGCAATTCGTGAAAATACGGATGGTATTTGATTGGTACTGTGACAGGGAGCTATTACAGCTAGTACAGGTATTTTTGCAATAGGTCTACAAGGTGAAGAATAGTAAAGAGTATTTTGTATTTTTAATGCTACGTGGTAGGTATGTACATCACGAAAAATCATGCACTCACTTTTGTCGGTGTGTCATTGTAAACAGGTTAGCATTGAGAAGCATATAATTTTGGACAATATTAGCAACATTAAGGTACTTTGCTTACACACGAAACTTAAATATGCCAGCATCATATGGAATCCATATTATGAGGATGTATAAAATTTTTGTTGGATGAGTTCAGTGAACATTTCTTAAATTTCTCATCTTTAAAGTTGACGATATTTGTTCAGGAAGGGAAATCAACAATTATGAGCTATGTAGTAGATTTGAAATACTTAGTTTAGAGCATACAATACCTTTATGGTGGCGTTGTTTTTATTTGAATTGCGGCATGGATACGTTGATGTTTTGATGTTCCGGGCTAAATTGCTCTTGCTGTGCCTTCATATTCATCTAGGCGTAATCCGACATTTGAGCTACCTAGAGCTAACACTAATATGTTACTTGTATCTCCAGTCTATGTTATGTGTGATAAACTAAACTATATCTTCAGCCGTTGTGATATATTTTTCCGTACACTCAATATGTTTATCAGAACAGTAAAGTGATTATGGAACTAATTTTGAATTCTTGTTTTCGGTTTAATTATCTGCATCTCTGTTTAGTGTATTATTATTATAATTTATACTCAGTGACATTTGAAATGTTACCACCAGAAAATATAATTTTTTAAATTTAATTTTTAGGCATTGAGGTAGTCTTACATCAAGAATGAGACGATAAAATTCTCTCTCAAGTTGTTTGTAGGACATCATCAACATAACGCACAGCAGACATATTGCCTTGAACAAAGAGAAGGAGTGATCAGCTACCATAAGCAATAGCCCCCCAACATTACTCCAACAGTTCTGTGCATATGCCTCTCAACCGCACATCCAGTATCACGCGTTCACAACGGCCGCGTATTAGCCCTTCTAGTCGCGCAGGATACAAATCCCAGTCAACCTTTTACTTCTTCTTGGAGGATATCCTCGCGAGTATAAGGTAATCATTATAAAAATGAAAACAAGGATATGCTTATACAGGGTGACTTTGAAGTTGAGTCATTAATTTTCAGATAATGATTGTAGAAGGAAGATAAACCAAAATAGCTGTGTAAAAATAAAAAAAAATAAAGAAAAAATTTTACCTTGTTTTATAAAGTATCCTCCCGACAAGTATTTCAGTGCGGACCTGTATTTGATCGTGAGGTCTTGGAGCACCGGCATGCTCTTCCCTGTGAGGTCTTAAGTCACCTAATTCACGAGCCCGTTGTACTACATTAACAATGGCACGAGAGGTTGGTTGCACTCGATTGGGAAACCGATCCGCATAAACATGTGCCATTTTTTATTTCGTTTGAGCCACGCAGCAAACACCACTATTCACTCACGCGTTAGCGACTGACACAGGCTGAATAAAAACATCGTGATCAGCGTTTCAAATTCTTTCGCTTTTTTGTTTCCGATGCGATGAACCGATAAGGCGGATTATATCCGTTGTTGCCAAACACGAGCACATAATATTATTATTGATACAGGGCGGTACTCAAACTTCTAAAGGGCTATAACTACTTTAATTTTACCACAAAAATGTTAAAGGAAAAAAACATTTCTTTTGATCAGATCTACTCACTGTTAAAATAAATGACTCAACTTCGAAGTCACCCTGTACTTCTAGCTTTTTCTCCGCAGCAAGACCTTATACTTTTACCTTATGCTTCCGAGGATATGGTTCTCTTTTATGAATGCGGCTCATTAAGTCTCCCAATGTTGCCGCTCTCTGCTCCAGTTCTAATTCTGACGTCAGTGGTCCTCAGTAAGAGGATGCACTAATCGTTAACGGTGAGGAAAAATTCTCGCTTGCGGCGATAGAGTGTACGCATAGTAACAGGTCTACCTTCCTCTCCAAACCATTGGTCAGCGATCTGACGCGTAGTAGCAGAACGGCCTCGTAGCGCTAGTTGTCTGAAGCGCCTATCTTGACGCTCTGTGGTACGCCTCGGTGGACCAGTTGGCCTTCTTCGTGTTCCTCTACCTTCTTCTATCCACACTCGACACACACGCATTATCGTCATTGCAGCACAATTGATAGACATATAGATATTTATTGAGCCAGAGAATGTACAATGGCATTTTTGGTGAGACGTGAGACAATAAATAATCCATTATAAAAACAGTTAAAGTTCATACACAATGCATACACATATAAATGACAATTCATACCAAGCTTTACATGAAATTAAAATTATAACACCAGAATTGTACACATGAATGAACCAACATATTCAAAATATAAAAATTAAAGACTGGAAACAATATAGAAACGTTTCTGTAGTACAATTTAAAATCTTCAACATTATATGGTGCTATATCTATTGAAATTTGTTTGACCTTACTTTAGAAAAGCTGAGGAAGCTTATTGTGATATTCAACTCCAAGGATTTGGCTACATTAATTCTATACCTTGGGGGCACCAATTTGATTTTCCCTCGTGTATTGTAGCCGTGAATATCATAACAATACTACGAACTGCTAGCTGCCTTTTGAATCAGAAAAATTTCCTATAACTGAGAATGTGAGGCATTCTCCCAACTAAGCGCTCCATAGTTCAATAGAGAGTTAAACATACCATTGTATGCTGTTCAGGCAGAGTTCGTCTCGATAATATATGCAATTTTGCATATTGCATATACTACCCTAGCCAGTTTAGTACAAATTTGGTCAATATGGAATGTCCAAGTCATATGTGAGTCAAACTGTACATCTACGGCGACCAATTTTTCGATAGGACGAACCAACATCTCGATAGGCAATAATTCTACCCCTGTCGAAATCTCTAAAATGGTGATAATTTGGACGACTTTGAACTAGAAGCATTTTGTTATGCGTAAAATTTTAACAACGGTAGACGAAAATAAAGATAAAACGATGTCACTGTTGCCACACATTGTTGCAAAAAAAATGAAGAAATTATTTTTTCTAATGTCACCGAAATTATCAACCATCAGATTGCAAGTCGAGTTTTTGTCTGTCTGGTATTGGGTTAATGTTTCAGAACTAAATGCGACAAGCTCACGCAGAGTCTCAAACATATTTTATTTACTAAAAAATATCTAATGCTTGCCTTTTTGTTATATCAAGTATCGTTAATAAACAAATTATTCTCAGCGGGTGCACTCCAACGACAAAAGCAAACTGTTAGTGTTACTCAAAAAATCTGCATCTAAGATGATAAAACAAATTCTATTAAACTGTTGTATTCTAGCCCTATAACTGTTTTCAATAAACAAATATGTTTTATAATGGTTGCATACTATGTTTGGTAATAATCTTGGAAACGTTTAAGTAATTATTGGTTTGTTCCTACAGTGGTCGGTGACATGTCGGTGATTGTGTCTGGGATCCGGGCGTGTGTTCCGTCTATACAGAGTGTCCCGAAAAAAGTGTGCAATATTCTACCAGCGGTTTCTAGAGCTTAAAATAGGAAGAAAAGTTTATATAAACATAGGTCGACAAACGTCCCCTAAGGACGCTACGGTCTTTTAAAGGGGCTCACCTGAAGATGGTTTTTCCTTAATATTTCCGAAACGTGTTGAGATAAAGACATAAAACTTGGTATTCTAGCTTAGTTTTTATGCTGGATTTAAAAATATTAACAATTTTAGACAGTTTTGTTTGGAAGCGTATGTAACAGGGACGGACTCAGGTTATTTTAGCACCAACATTTTTGTGTGATTCTATTTTTGAAATTCAATTTTGTGCTGAAAACTTCCATGGTTTGACAAATTCCGGTGAATATCAATAAACATTCGACGATTGGGAAATCTTCTTTGATATTCTCTTATGGCTGCAAATAAACTGCCATTGCAAAACCCGTACACAAAATGCATGTCAGTCAGTACTCTGTCTCTAAATCTTGGCATTTTAAATCGATTTAATAAAATTTTTGATTTCAACCTAGTAATGTAACACTGCTAACAATGTCAGCTTAACGTCAAAATAAGTCATAATAAATCAAAACAGCTTTTGTTTGCAGTCATGGCTAACTATGTATAATCAACAATTCATTTAAATTCGCAGTACATTTCCTATCATGTGACAATTTTTTTAGTTTAATTTTATTCAAAAATGGCACAATTTATCGATTTTTAACAAGAGTACCTTTTTATGTAGAAAACTCTAAGTTTTGATATTCTAAAATTGAATTTCAAAAATAGAATCACACAAAAATTTTGGGGCTAAAATAACCTGGTCCGTCTCTGTTACATACGCTTCCAAACAAAACTGTCTAAAATTGTGAATATTTTTAAACCCAGCATAAAAAACTAGCCTAGAATACAAAATTTTATGTCTTTATCTCAACGCTTTTCGGGAATATTAAGGAAAAACCATCTTCAGGAGAGCCCCTTTAAAAGACCGTAGCGCCCTTATGGGACGTTTGTCGACCTATGTTTATATGAACTTTTCTTCCTATTTCAAGCTCTAGAAACCGCTGGTAGAATATTGCACACTTTTTTCGTGAAACCTGTGAGAGCCATGATGAAACAAATTAAAGAGAGGTTATG